GACATTTGCATAGTGCTACGGTTCAGTAAGCACTAATTGGTCAGCGAGTCCGATGTTGACGCTATAAAAAGGCGACAGTTCGACACACCGGATATACGTCACTCTCGTCTAAGTTCGACTTGGGAATTTTTTTGTTCAATAATAAATGTGAATTCTTCTTCCTGGAAAAATAAGACATTCCCTGAAAATAAGACCTAGCGCATTTTTCAGAGCAAAAATTAATATAAGACACTGTCTTATTTTCGGGGAAACACGGTAGTAAAATAATTTTAATATTAATAATAATAATTTAGTAACATAAATTTATTCATAGTAAAATGTACTCGCGGGCCGTAAAAATTATTTGGCGGGCCGTATACGGGCCGCCAGTTGGACAGCGCTGAGTTACACTATTTGAATTTTGATGTTCATATAAAATTTTTTTAGCAATAACTATTAAAACTTTTTGGTAAATTTTGAGGTGTGCAAGTATTTGAATAATATAAAAATAATCCTATTTACTTACATTGCACATCTTGTTTGTTAACATCTTTTAATGCATTGAAACTTCCTGATAAAGGTTTATCCTAAAAAATAATTTTTTCATAAATAAGTAATTTAAATACTTCAAGACAATTCAAACTAACTTATTTTAAGCACAAAATACTTAAATCTGTAAAATTCAGGATATAAATAACAAATATTTTTAAATAAAAATGTTTTTGTTCAAAGATCAAACTATAAAATAAAGTTTGCAACCATTTATTTAGTTAATTATTAATTTTTAGAAGAAAATTATATTGAATAATGTTTAAATATAACACAATTCTAATCAAGTAAAATCAAGCATGTTACATTTGAAAAATCAATTTGAGAGAAAATGAAATAATTTTTAAGTTCTTTTCATACTGCAGTTAATTAAATAATAATCAAACATTGACAAAAAAGCCTTTAAAATGCAGCTTTTTATTAACTAACTTTCTGAGGAAGGTTATTCAAATGGTTGAAAACGTTCAATTAGTTAATAAACAGCTATATTTTAAAGGATTTTTTTTGTTAATGTTTGATAATTTTTAAGCAAACATTTTTAAACTTTATGCTACTTATTTAATGATTTTATAATATAACATCATAAATAAGTAAAAAAGAAATTATAGAAACATCCCAAGAACCCAATGTATTAATAATCATTCAACCATCAGCCAAATTAATTTGGCTGATGGTTGAATGATTAACAAAGAAATTATTGAAGAAAGTATTAACAATTATGTAATTAAAATAACAAAATTTCTGTCATTGTAACATGCATAATCCATCTACATTCAGTTAGTAGCTCTTTACATATTAATTACACTAATTGCAAATCAAATCTTTACATCCTTCAAGTGAATTCATGAAATATGAAAACAAGCAATGAAATATTTGATGAAAGATGATTTTGTTTGTATGTATATGATTTTTTTGGATTAGTTATTTAGTTTTCGTTTTAATATATTGCAACAAAATTAATTTATATTAGCTGAATCTTTGTCTGATGAGAGTAGCCATAATAAACTTTAAAAAATTGTCCAAATAGAAGGAACATTCATTGAACTTTTTAATAATCACTATTCGTTATTTTTTTTATTTCTATGTGTGTTTTCATTTTCATAAATAAAATTAAATGTTTTTGTTTGTGTTGTATTTTCATTAATTAAATTAATGAGAATGCATTAATTAATTATTTCAATTTATATTATAAATATTGAATATGGACAAGTTTTGTAAGATCAAAACATTCATTTCATGACAATATAAATTCATAAAGAAAAGCTATTTTCTTTTATGTTTGTTATACATTGTTTGCTTAAGAAAAATATTTCGAATATTTTAATATTTATTCATTACAGTGTGAACTGATTTTTTTGAGCATTGAGACTATATCCTACTCCTGAAAACTTCTCATAAATCAGAAATAATTGAAAAGTTAGTCCTAAGTTTGCAAATTTGTACCTGTTTTTAACATCCTATGGTATAAATCCAGTCACCTTATCAATATTCTCCAAATAAGATTAAAATCATATAAAATATCTATTTATCTATCAACCAATAATTCTAAATGAAATTAATAAAACAAATGAAATGAAAGTATTGACTAGGTTATTTATTGGTTTAAAAGAAATTAATACAAAATAAGAGAAGCAATAGCATTACCCCTAGCAAATGAAACAAATAAAATGTACACTGGAACCTAATAGCCATTAGTCTTAGAATACAGAAGTTTCAATCTTTCACACTTATGATTAGAATATTTAGTTCTCAGATATATTGGTCAGTTCTATTATATCAAATTCTCATATAACAAGTACTCAAATAGCAGTCATACTATAATCAACATCTGAGGAATATTATGAGAACAACCTTTCCAAATAATTATTGATTTATGATTTTTCTTCATGATATAAATCAATGATGAGCAACCTTTCCTGGATATAGGCTACAAGTGAACTTTGTAGGCTTCCACATGCACAGAAGCCTACAAAAAAAAGTATGCATTTTTTTCTTATGAAGTTGCAGTATCAACATACTCCATAACCAGCAGTACACTAGGTATTAAAATAATACTATATTTATTCCAATAAATAGTGCTTGTTTTATTAGAAGATTATTAGAAGTATTAATTTGTATTATCTTAAATTACAAAACAATTTTTTAATTATATTTCATTATTAATTATATTATATTATACCGATTATATTGTAATATAATTACATTTGTATACTGTATAATTATAACTATTAATAAAAATACAGCATAATGTAATTACATATATTTTTTTAATCTATCAACTTATTTAGAATTAAAAATTAAAATAAAGATTTTACTAGTCAGTCATCAATGGCCTGAACAGCCACCCACTCTATCCCTAGTTACATCACTGCTCTCACGGATATGAATAATGGTTATAACAAGAAAATCTTGCTAATCCCCTAATGCTTGTTATAACCGAGTTTGACTATTACATTTTGTAACCATTCTTATATATAAACAGAGTAAATCAACTTAAAATACAAAATGATATCATTTGATAACATTTAATGCTTCTCAAGCTAAATACTATCATCCCAAGGTAAATGTTCTGTAATAATTATGGAATGTTTTCGCGTAGAAATTTCGTCGATGTTAAGCCTAACGAAGTCTATTGTATCGCTAAAAATTATTTTTTTATTTTGTACAAACAAAATAAATATATTGAAAAATATAAAAACAATAAAATATTATACTTCAGATGTTAATTTAGTATCAAAAACGTAAAATATTTGAGTAGCCCAAGAAATAGCCGAAGATTGCAGCGCCACAGCACTAGCGAAAATTTAAATTTGCCGACTGGAATGATTTCGGATAACCAGCTTTTGGATAAACGACGCTCTACTGTAGTATAAATTTATACAGGGTGATTCAACAGGTCTTAATCAAACTTTAAAAGTAGGTCAAAAATACAAAGACAAACCATTTTTAGGAACATATAGTAGCAAATGCCATCTGAAATTATTAGAAGTACAGAAAGAATCATGCAGAAAAGAATACACATAAAGTATACATGTTTACAGTATTAGAACACTCAGGTGGTGTTTGCAGCTATGTTTCTAGGTAATTAAGTTTTTGAATTTACTAATTGTAGCTGTATTATTTGTTCAGTGAATGGTTGTCTCTTTAATCCGAAATAATTCTTTTGGTAAACTATCTTACAGCAAGCAAGTTAATAAACTCCTTTATTGTACTGTATTTTCACATATGCATTTTGGGCTAGTTTTATTTTTCTAGTCCCTCTTCGGTGCTACAGGAAGTATACATTACAAACATTGAGTTAACAAACATGACAACATGAGTAGAAATGTCAAGTAACACAAGGAAACACTTTTTACAATACCTTTAAGAACTTCACCCACTTTTTTCCCTGAGCTAAATTGTTAACTCATACAGTACTTCTATTTACAATGTTAAAATATCTTTGTGGGCGTAAAACGCATTACAATGAAACAATGTTGCTATAAATAATAATACAATCATAAAACTCAGTAACAAATAAGTAATATAAAAACTTTTAATAAGTTTTTTAAGTTTAAAAGTAACAAATAAGTAATATAAAAACTTTTAAAAAGTTTTTTACAAAAATATATATACAGGTTTTTCTGTTATATTCTTTGAAAATATTCTATTCTAACACTAAACAATAGTTGTGTGTTGTATAAATCCCTAAATGGTAATTTACACACAATAACTTTTACATACATTTGGTGCTTGGTTTTACAAAACACTTTACTGGTTTATTGTCATGCCCTCTATAATGTCGTACCATAGTTGTTCAATTTGCATGCCATTAGAGATATTTATTAAATTATTGTCATTATGTTTTATAATTTCAATATGTTCTTTAAATTTTCTTTTATAAATATTTTTCTCTATGTGCAGGATTTTAATATTATTTCTATCAATATTACAGTTACTATTTTTGATATGGTTATACCAAGGAGAGTTATTATACTTTAATCTAATGGCTGCCTCATGTTCTTTGATCCATAATTCTAAAGCACGTCCTGTTTCACCTATATAATTTTTTCGATTTTGGCAATTACAGTTGATTTTATAGATAACACCTGTTGTTTTCAATTTATCACTATCAGTCTTATATGTTTTTAACCTATCAATATGTACTTTATGTGAAATTTTATTTTTTTTTATAAATTGTGAAATTTTTGTATTCCTAACCTACCATTAAAGTTCATCTCAGATCTTTTGAATCACCCTGTATATGCATTATTTTAAATTTAAACTTAAAGTAATGCACTTATCATCATCATCATCATTTACTATTATGAGAATCAGCTATAAATTTATATAATTGACTAGAAATTCCCCCATCAAGCATGACAGAATACTTTTTATGAAAAAGTACAGATTGAAGAATTGAGAAGAGTAGAGATTTCAAGAAATTCAAGAAGAGTTGCTAATATTTCTACAAATTAAGTAGTTTATACAATCTGTTGTAACATAAAGCGCAACAAAATCTAGTTCACTCAAGTCAGACTTCAGGGGTCTCAGTTCTTTTATTCTTTTAGATGTAGAATTTACCTGACCAATTTTAGTCTTGTTTTCCCCCTAGGCATTTTTTTTTTGGACAAAATAGCAAGTCTTTTCAATTCCAGATTAATAAAACAAAGATTAATTGTATGTATGTTAGTTAAATGAGTAATAACACTTTCTAAATAATGGGCTCGTTAAATTGTTATTTCTGATTGGATAATATAACGTCACATGGTCACTACAGAAAGATTTATTTTAAAAATTTGTTATAGAAGTCATATGATGCTTCTTTGACGGCTTTCTTTTAAGGTTTAAATTTTAAATTTAATGAAGTAAGTTTAAAATATGCCATTTGCCAAAATGCATATTTAAAAAGGCAACTTAAGGGAAATTCTGTCATCAAGCATGAATGTCACATGGTCATGACATCACTGTAACATAAATGTGATCACTGATCCGAAATCATAATAAACGTTTATTCTATGGCTAATATTTCCAAAATAATAAGTAGCATAAAACATAAAATGAATATAACCAAAATTTTATCTAGACTGGACAAAAATTGTAGGAGTTATAAGGTTTTTATATTATATCTAGGTATATAAAATAATTTCTGTTACTTTCTTTTCAAATGATTTTTATAAAATTTATTAAAATATAACCTTCCAGGCTTACCTGTGAACTGAAACCAAATGCATTAGAAAAGAAGAATAAAATGTAACCTCCATTCATTTCCTCAGAAAATATACAGATATAATACTGCTGTACCATATTTTCCTTTAAATTTAGTTCAGAAAATAACAGATATTATACAGCAGTATTATATCTGTTATTTTCTGAACTAAATTTAAAGGAAAACAAATTTAAATAACATTTAGTGATATTTATAATACATGAAACTCACCAATTTTTCACCAAATGTTACTTCATGGATAATATGAGCCATATCTATACTGTCGGGCTGTTTGGAAGCAGCATGTGTAGATACATGAAAATTTCCAGGAACCTTTAAAAATAATGATAATATAACAGTTCATGTATATTGTAAATAGTTAGTAATACAAATTCTGAAAATTACAAATGATTAGAAATATCAGACAAAAACAAATATATAATATAGTTGAAAAAATACAAAAAGACAACTGTATAATAAGATTATATTTTATTATTCTGTATGAAAATACACCTCTATTAATATAAGGTAAGTGTATGAAAAAGTTATAAATTTTATTAAAGCTTTGTATCAAATGTTATGTTTTATTAAATACAGAAGTGTTAAAAAGTGAAAAAAATTTAAGCATGCATTAGATAAAATGATGGTAATTAACTGGAATTTTATAAACATCTATTGATCTTAATATATGATATAAACCTTAGAAGAGATCATCTTATTCTGAATACAAATAAAATTTAAACTTCTGAAAATGTTTTTTGTTTTCCAACAAAAAAATTATTTTTCCTTCCTTAGCAATGTCAAAATAGTTCTATTAAATATGTTAAAAAACAAGTTATATTTTATCTTCATTTTTCTTATATGAAATTCTAATTTTTAATAAATAATGATAATATATAATCTTTGAAAATACATTTAAATTGTACATTAAATCCTTATTAAGTTACAAAAAATATAGAAAACTATATTTAGAATGAAAGGTTTCATTTTAATAATGAAATATAAATTGCTAATGCTTTTTAAATATGTTATCTTATCATATTACTATTAAACACACTGTTATTTTATTGTATTACAGTCAAACCAGTCTATAATGGAACCTGTACATAATGAAAACTTGTGATTAATAAAACATTTCTTCAGTCACTTGAATTTTTTGCAAAAAGTAATGTAAATTAACCAATATATAGCAGAACCTGTCCAACATGAAAACAGAAAATAAAATCAGGTGATATAACAGAAAAATCTGCATCTTTATCTGATTTAACACAAATTTAACAGGAAGTTTAAATGCCTAACATGTATAAAAAAATCAAAAAATACACACTCCCAATACAGAATAGCAAAATATGACTACTGTATTACAATAAAATTTTATTGGGATTTGAACAGAATGTTTTTGCATATTTTTTTTTAACAGTTGTTTTTACTTAACATAGATATGTGATGTAATTATAAGTTGTGAAATTTAACATATTATTCCTGATGCCATATTGTATTCTTTGATTTAAAGCTTATTTTAAACTTTTTTACATCACATAAATGAAATGTGATGCAAAAGAGTTTAAAATAAAATCAAGTCAAAATGCAAATAAAATGCACATTGGGCACATTATGCTTTTCAAGTTTCAAAAAGAATTTCATGCTATACAAACAGTAAAAAATACTCATACAGTGTATGAGAAAGTTGCTTCTAAACTCCAAATGTGTCAAATATGATTTCAAAAGTTTCAATCAGGAAATTTTGAACTAAAGGATACAAAACATATGGACCCCCAAAAGCTGTTGAAGAGAAATTGTGGGAAAAAATTGTTAAAGATTGATGAATAATAACTGATAAATTTACATCAAATTTAGTGTAATAATCTGAAATTGTGTCGTTATTCTTTTCCATTATTCAAACACTATGTAGTGTAATTAATCAATCACTTGGCATATTTTTTATCTCTATTTTTTATTCAGTTGATAAACATTTTTTCTACATGTTTCGTGTTCAATAATGCCCCTTTTCAGTCAACTAAAAAAGGTATAAAAATATACACAAATCACAAAAAAAAAAAAACCAATATACATATATAAAATATAGATATTGTATGAAACATACCTCGAGATCGCAATCGCTTGAAACAATCTATATTAGATGTCTGTGTGATGTGTATAACTTACACTGATGATCATTCCAGTTTATCTATTAAACAAATATTTAAATCCAGAGTTACAAATACTAATTATTACTCATGTTAATTGACAAAATCCATATAAACACATTTCAAACACACCTTTAAGATTATTGTAGTTCACACACTTGAAGGATAGGTGTACCGCTGATACATAACATTGTATCAATCTGTTCTTGTACTTTCACACTGGTATTGTCAGTGTTCTCTCTCCTCTTTTTCAAAAATAGTAAGGCATGGAGATAATTTTAAAAAATTTTTCAGTTCCGTTTCTTCCCTCTGTTGATAAAATCCAATAAAACCATACCATACAAACAGGTTTATCATTATATGTTATTCCTTATATCATCTCTTTGCTTTCAATGTGCAGTACCGTGCCTATTAGCATATCCTCACGTGATGAGATGGCCAACCCATGACCAAATATTTATTGACTGATTAAATATTATTATAATTGAATTATTCAATTTATAAAAAGTAATATTTCATAAGTAAGTTATTTAATTTAATTTACAATTTATTTTTATTTCTTCAATTTCAACTTCAATTTTAATTTCTATTTATAATACTTTCAACCAATTTCATTTATTTTTATACTTAGATTTTTATTTATACATTTTGTATTTTTAAAGATTTCTATACTTTCCTTAAATTTTCTGTTATATGCTTCTTTTTCTTTGTGCAAAATTTTTATATTATTCTGATCTATATTGCAATCATTCAACGTAAATGGTTGTGGAAAACAGAGTTGGTTCTATGATATTTTAGATCTAACTTTCATTTTTCGTTTTGTTTCTCCTATGTAATGTTTGGTATCACTGCAGGTACATGGAATCTGGTAAAGAATGTTTTTAGATTCTGCTGATATTTGTTTTTCTTTTTTTGTGGATTTTAGATTTTTTAATCTAACGGATATTTTTTCATATTTCGGTGCAAGCTTAATGTCAGTTTTTCTTGTTTCTCTATTGATTTCTTCATACAGGCCTTTAGTGTATGGGAAGTTAGTATATTTTGCTTCAGAATGTCCTTTATCTTCCACAGGAATCTTTTTGGTGTTTATTTTCCTTAGGTATAGATGAACTAATCAATAAAATACAAGGAATTCTACGAGAGATATGTAGACGATATTCTTATTATATGTAACGAAACAAAAATTAAATTGATGAAATAACTAAGCAAATAAACAGCATAAATAAAACAATAAAATTCAAAATAGAAGAAAAAGATAAAATTAAACATGAATTAAGTTATTTAGATATCACAATAAGAAGGGGGAAATGAATTAGAATTTAGGATTTTTAAAAAGCCTTGCTCAATAAAAACAACTATAAAATACAGTTCTAATATACCATTATACATAAAATAAAACATATTCCATATGGATTATTGTAAAATAAAAATCAGAACAAGTAAAAACATCCATGTACATAATGACATAATTGAGTTAAAAAAAGAAATTCCAGGTTCAGGCAAAAAAATGGGGGTTATTTATGTACAATTAACCCATAAAGTTTTTTCATCAATTTTGAGAAAATATTTTTGAAAAATTGATTTTTTAAAAGAAATTCCTTTTAGACGGATATCCAAACAGATTAATAAAAGCCTGGGAAAGGAAAATAAACACCAAAAAGATTCCTGTGGAAGATAAAGGACATTCTGAAGCAAAATATACTAACTTCCCATACACTAAAGGCCTGTATGAAGAAATCAATAGAGAAACAAGAAAAACTGACATTAAGCTTGCACCGAAATATGAAAAAATATCCGTTAGATTAAAAAATCTAAAATCCACAAAAAAAGAAAAACAAATATCAGCAGAATCTAAAAACATTCTTTACCAGATTCCATGTACCTGCAGTGATACCAAACATTACATAGGAGAAACAAAACGAAAAATGAAAGTTAGATCTAAAATATCATAGAACCAACTCTGTTTTCCACAACCATTTACGTTGAATGATTGCAATATAGATCAGAATAATATAAAAATTTTGCACAAAGAAAAAGAAGCATATAACAGAAAATTTAAGGAAAGTATAGAAATCTTTAAAAATACAAAATGTATAAATAAAAATCTAAGTATAAAAATAAATGAAATTGGTTGAAAGTATTATAAATAGAAATTAAAATTGAAGTTGAAATTGAAGAAATAAAAATAAATTGTAAATTAAATTAAATAACTTACTTATGAAATATTACTTTTTATAAATTGAATAATTCAATTATAATAATATTTAATCAGTCAATAAATATTTGGTCATGGGTTGGCCATCTCATCACGTGAGGATATGCTAATAGGCACGGTACTGCACATTGAAAGCAAAGAGATGATATAAGGAATAACATATAATGATAAACCTGTTTGTATGGTATGGTTTTATTGGATTTTATCAACAGAGGGAAGAAACGGAACTGAAAAATTTTTTAAAATTATCTCCATGCCTTACTATTTTTGAAAAAGAGGAGAGAGAACACTGACAATACCAGTGTGAAAGTACAAGAACAGATTGATACAATGTTATGTATCAGCGGTACACCTATCCTTCAAGTGTGTGAACTACAATAATCTTAAAGGTGTGTTTGAAATGTGTTTATATGGATTTTGTCAATTAACACGAGTAATAATTAGTATTTGTAACTCTGGATTTAAATATTTGTTTAATAGATAAACTGGAATGATCATCAGTGTAAGTTATACACATCACACAGACATCTAATATAGATTGTTTCAAGCGATTGCGATCTCGAGGTATGTTTCATACAATATCTATATTTTATATATGTATATTGGTTTTTTTTTTTTTGTGATTTGTGTATATTTTTATACCTTTTTTAGTTGACTGAAAAGGGGCATTATTGAACACGAAACATGTAGAAAAAATGTTTATCAACTGAATAAAAAATAGAGATAAAAAATATGCCAAGTGATTGATTAATTACACTACATAGTGTTTGAATAATGGAAAAGAATAACGACACTGTTTCAGATTATTAAACAAATTATACCTTGAAAATTGTAAATGCACTGCGTAACATTCTCGGCAAATCTTACCTGTTTTGTGCACAGTAGTCTCCAGACCTGGTAC